ATACGTCAAAAGATCACAAATCGTATCTAGTTGAAGACATTACCCTTAAAAATTGAAAAAATTTCCCTCGTTCCCCGTAAATGGGGGAAACCTCCCAAAAAATTACTAATTTAAAAATCGCTAATTTTCGAAATTTTTTCAATTTTTTTTTCTAAAAACTGTTGTAACTTTTAGCTTTGATGTGAAGCGGAGAAGGTATTAATTTTACTATGATGTGTTTTTTTTTTATGCCTGTTGCCAATTTTTCTCAGCTCTCACTGGACCGATTTCTTTCAAAAATACGTCAAAAGATCACAAATTGTATCTAGATGAAGACATTACCCTTAAAAATTGAAAAAAATTCCCTCGTTCCCCGCAAATGGGGGAAATATCCAAAAAAATTACAAATTTAAATATCGCTAATTTTCGAAATTTTTTCACTTTTTTTTCTTAAAACTTCCATAACTTTTTCATAAATCAACAAATCAACATAACTTTTTTTTATACTAAAACCTTAGATATTTACATTTCATTTGATATCATTTTTTTGAAAATCTATCACTTAACCTGCTCATTGGGGGGGATTTANTTGACATACTTTTTATTAAAATTAGACAATTTCCCCTTATATAGGGGGGGTTCAAACTTTGAAACATTGTATAAAAAATAGAACTTTTTCAACTAAACTTTTGAAAATGTTCCGGAAATACTGCGTCCTTTAGACATATATCAAATTAAAGTTTTTTTTATGTACTATAAAATGAAAAAAAAAAATTTGTCCCGACACCTTTTTTACTACATTTAAACGGCTGCCGTAGTTAAAAAAACTCTATTTTTGTGTTAAAATTTTCGATTTTCGATTTTAAATTTTCAACTTAAAAATGCTATAACTTTTTGAAAAATGTATATATCAGCACAAATTTTTTTTTCTAAATACATTATAAGTACATCTTACATTTGATATACTTTTTATTAAAATTGGACAATTTCCCCTTATATAGGAGGCGTTAAAAACTTATTGTAAAAAACATAGATCTTTTTAAACTGAACTTTTGAAAATGTTCCGGAAATACTGCGTCCTTTAAACATATATCAAATTAAAGTTTTTTTTATGTACTATAAAATGAAAAAAAAAAATTTGTCCCGACACCTTATCTTCTATGTGCAAATGGCTGTCGAAATTATAAAAAAAATGTAATGTTTACGATAAAAATCACCTTCTATCGGAATGTTTTTTGTACTTAAAACTGCCATAACTTTTTCAAATATTAACTAATCAAAATAATATTTCTTTATATTGAAACCTTAGGTAATTTTCTTTCATTTTATATCATTTTTTTTTGAAAATCTAACACTTATTCTGCTCACAGGGGGGATTTAAAATAGCAACTTTTTTACAAAAACTAACTTTTTCAACTTAATTTTTGAAAATGTTCCGGATATACTGCGTCCTTTAAACATAAATCAAATTAAAGATTATTTTATGTACTACTAAACAAAAAAAAGAAATTTGTCCCGACGACCAATCTTCTATGCGCAATAGGCTACCGTATTTAAAAATATGCTATTTTTTATTAAAATTCTAGGTTTTGTATTTTATTTTATTTTAAAATATTTTATTAGGGGAATAAACTGACTTTCATGAATATTATATAATTTCATTGACATAGAATAAAGTTCATAAGACATATGATATTATACTTATTAACATTTTTTACTTTTTTAAAGTCGAAAAAGTAATTTTTAAATTTGAGTTAGCTTAAATAGCCAATTTTATCATGCAACAAAAATCAACGAATAGTTGCCGAATGGGTAACACCTTGATCTTTAACGCCTAGGGTACGAGGTTCAAATCCGTTTGTGGCTTCTAAAATTTTGCATTTTTTTTTTGAGTTACAATAGAATTTTCAAATCATTTGATATTTATCTCATTTAGATTCAATAATTTCAATAAATATAAAGGATCTTATCACTATAGTCTACCCTCGTATTATAATTATATTTTTGATAATATGCTCAATTGAGTAAATCTTTTTAACTACTTTGGTTTGATTGGTTCATTTAATTAAAGTAAATTATTAAAATTAATTAAGTTCTGAATATTTCAATTGCAGAATTTTTTTAAACACCAAAAGTTATTATATCCTAATAACTTTTGGTGTTTAAAAAAATTCTAGTAATTATAAAATTTCCAGATTGCATATTAATCTTAAAAATTTCATTTTTTTCAATTTAATAATGTCAATTTCAAACTTGCAAGTTGAACTATAAGTTATGGTAACAAATTCATTTTTTAGCTTCGATGCGAAGCTGAGAAGGTATTTTTCATTAAAACTTTCACTTTAAAAGACAATAAAAAATAGGTTCAAAATGATTACCTTTAACATATTAAAAATCAAAATCAGTATTAATTTAATACAATTTTTTTTGTTCTTAATTATTTTTTTTTATATGTAAATACTTATTTTTTAATAATAAGTAATAATATTAAAACTTAGAAGTAATAGAAAAAGT